GCATTTGGTTGACCAGTCCCAAGCTGGTCGAAATGCGCGTCTGGGATCATCTGTTAGCCTCAATGAACAATATTTATTTTATTATTTTATGACTTTAAATGAAAAGTAGGCATACGTTTTCGTAGTTTGTTTCGTCTATATTTGTCATACTGAGAAAGCTATTAGTATTCTTAAGATTTTAGAATACATGTATGAATACGATAATGAAACAGTAGAAGTATTGTTCGTTTCTTCTGACCACGAATCAATGGATGTAAGATTACATAGTGTTTAATTGTATATCAAAGGGTGTTGATTAGTAGCTTGCTTTCTTGTTGTAAAAATGAGTCTGAAAAATGTTGTACAATGAAAAATATTAGGATAGTTGACTAGACATGGTTAAACTCAAACGGTATCTGTGTTAGTAAGATTCATTGATAGCGGTGATTTTTTCCATTCGCTGTCGATAAAATGTTATGCTGAATATGTTGTAAATGAGATACATTTAGGTAACCAATACAATGCATTTTGACATTATCTCATAAGCTTATAGTAAGTTTAAAACTGAATAACTTTTTGACTCCGAAGAATAAATTAATCGCCTTTGAGTTAACGATGAAATGTTCTACTTGTTCACCTATTTTGTTGTTTCAGTATCCCTTCAGTCCCTATATACTTTATTCATGACATAAAGCTGTACTTAAATCATTTAAGTGTTTAAGTGAGAAGATAATTTCAGTGAAAGAAAACGTTTCTTATTGACAAACTCTTTATCTTAGCTGTAAATTCATGAATATGTAGTAGAAAGAGAAACCTGAGAACCTCAGAGGAATCTTGATAAAAATAGATGTTCATCAAAGTTAACAAATAAGAATTTAAAGTCAAACGGAATTATGGACAGCTTGCATATTGTTTCAGAAAATAACCTCATATTTAAGGGCGACAATACATCAGGCCATCAAGATCCATTAGCAAGACATTTTCGCTGTTCATGTTGGAATCACATTTATTAAAAATAACTCGTTAATACACAAAAGATAAGCCAAAGAATAGGAGGATATCACTGCGTGTATCAGTTTCTGTGCTGCTGCTGAACCGAGCATGGAAACCATGTCATGGACTATCTTGTCTAACTCTCTGATGAACACTTTTCAGTCTAAATAACAAGAGGAGATAGAAACGAATCTTCAACTCTATAACAGAACACTAGGTAAATGTGGAACATCTAGCTCTTTTGGAGAAATCTTTCATAGTTTTGTAAAAAGTGTAACCAAGCCACCTAAAGGGAGTAAAATTAGGACATCTGGATATAGCCAAAGTATTTTCATTCTGAAAGTTAGAACCCTCATTGTACGTTCAAAAGAAGTGTGTGCAAAACATCATTCTTTATAAAAACCACGATAAAGGATCAATAAATCTCAAAACTTCTCTCATAATTGTTTTATTTTATCACCATTTGTTCATTTTCCTATTTTAAATGCATATACATGGGTGTCTTATGTAACCTTCCCTCTTCTGGCAGAACTGTTTCAACCGTTGACCGGGAATTACTCTGAAATGTTGCTTTTTTCACTTATATGTTTATAAAAGAACACCTTACAGAATGAGTTCATTTAAAAGAAACCTTTTTCCCCACTATAATCATCCTAATTCTTGAAATTGAATATAACATGCTATTCGACTGTAAAATTTCCTCTTATTTGATAACACAACGTATAAACTAAAGAAATGTATAATACAGGAATAGCTTTTCAATGAGTAAGTTTACGACTTCAGTCATATTGGTCTACAGTCAAATCAATTTAAGCGATATCTGTTAAAAATGGTAAATGTATAAATGATTGGCGTATGAATGTCTAGTTAAAAAAAATCCTCCCACTATGGTACTTTCTCTATTTCAGTGACATGTGTATGCTATCACTTTGTGCATATCAACGATTTTGAATGATTCTTACTGATCACTATTAGCAGTAGAGATGTTATGGCATGTGTGTAATTTAAGGGTTTTGAAGTTTTACTTATCGAAAATATTAACCTGACATCTATTTCTGACTGACTGAAGTTAGTGTGGACTGGCAGTCTTTTTAATGGATAAGTCATCATGATTATATCATATTGTCAAGTGATGATAAGAGTGAATCTCACGCAGTCTGAAAGGAAGTTTTTAAATTTTTAATCCACTTTAGTCTCTTCCCTATAACCTTTGGTTTTGATGTGATCCTTTTTTATGAATAAAACTGTGACAGATATATTTTATTAATCGTAAGCTGCCTCTTATGAACGGACCTGCTTAATTCAATCTCCATTCTTGGTAATAGAAAAATACTTCTGCTGGAATGCCAGTGTTTAAAATAGAAAAGTAATGATAAGACCTTTGAGTATCGAGGACTGTTGAGAAGTATCATTTACGGTTTCATGTAGGTGGTAAAATGCCTTCATTTGAACAAACATTTCTTCACAGATAACGTTTTCAAGAATATGGAGTATTTTTTGCTTATCTTTAGAGAGGAACATCAGCCACCAATAGGCGGGAATAATATAGTTACTTCTACCATTTTTTATTGAGGAAGATCAAAGATAATTTATGTGGTTCATAAAAGAAATATATTTCAGCTAAGTAATTTCTAATGTTTTCAGATTAGGTGTTATGTAAAATTTTGATTAGTTTGCTTGTAAAAGTTCGCTAAATGAGCTATTTATGACTTTATTACGAATATGTGCTTCAATGTTTTAAATATCATACTGATTACGGCATTAAAATAAGAAGAAATAGCGTTTATTTTTTCATGCACAACGTCTTAGGTTGATAGAAACAAAGGAGTTTTTTCATCATCCGTATCCATGCCTCTCTCCAAGTCCATCCTCAAAGAAGACAAAAAGGAAATATACTAAATTTTAAGCACGCACAAATATATTCGAAAATTCAATCATACTTTATTTAGTTTTTCTGTTGTGTAAAAAAAGATCATTTTAAAAATAGTCTTATGAATTAAATTTGTAATAGCGATTAGTTATCATGACCATGCAGTCATCACCGATTTCTTTTTATATATTGTTTAACGGCACCACTGTTAATTTATATATTGAAAATGTTGTGCAACAAGTAAAGTGATGTATTATCAAATACTGAGGATTGTGTACTGTAAAGAAAATTATTGTTCGCAATAAAGTAAATATATTACCATTGTTATAATTTGGTTGGTTGTGGCTAGCAGAAGGATCCAGGATGCGCGTTTCGCCCCACTTGGGACTCGTCAGCTGGATGTGCCTGTACCCCAGTGATACTGTTCCCACTGAGACTCGAACCTCGTACCCATCGCTTCAGACGACAACGTGTTATTCACTATCCCACGGAGGAACGATCCAACAAAACAACAGAGAATAACAAGTATGTCAATAAATAGTAATAACTACTACCCGTTGTACAAGGAGCTACTATGATTCCTATGTGGCATAGTGGGTAACGTCTTGGCACTTGAAGTGATTGGTGCGAGGTTCGAGTCCCAGTGGGGACAGCATCACTGGGGTGCAGGTACATCCAGCTGACAAGTCCCAAATAGAACGAGACGCGCGTCCTGGATCCTTCTGCTAGCCACAACTAACCAAATCATCATAATTAACATTCAGGCAATATCGAGGCAACCGCATAGGAACCCATATGCCAGTAAACGTCGAACAATTCGATCCAATAAAGCAGCGGAGAATAACAAGTATGTCAATAAATAGTTATTATTACCATTGTTATTACTACTCAAAGTGTTGCTGGATGGCTAATGCACCATAGTATATAATTTTGAATGCATAACATTCGGAAGCCAAATTCTAAATTTCTCTCAAATGTTAGGTTTTCCTTGTTCAAAAGGAAGTTAAAGTGTACATGAAAGTTATAACTTTTACACTTTTCAATACGTCTATTTTCCAGATAGAAATTGGCATACGTTGGAAGTGAGTGTTGTATGGACACAGGCTAGTAACAGAATAAACATTCACACTCCATTAAAAAGAGCAACACTTTCTTAGTCTTGTTTCATAGCGATAGTGAATAGTTATAATCAGGCTAGGTAGTTGAAAATGAACGAAATACTTCTGGGTTCTCTTAAGTAACAATAGCTAACTTGTTCTATTCACGCAAATAGCGTCACAAAAACAAAAACATTCGAAAATTAGCCTAGGAAGACTGAGCGTTTACCTAGTCTTCTTATTACCCTGCTTGTAACCAGTTGTCTTAAGGCTATGAGATCATCTTAAGATCTCTGTAACATTTAAGAATTCAAAACACTAAAAATGGAGCCGCATTTCAATCTTCAGTGATCATGTAGATTCTTTAGATATAATAAACGTCATTTATTTAATTTAAAAGTATTATTCATCATGGACTGACATCAGTTGGGGAACCATTGAAAATCTGGGAGCACTGGACAGCTGTTTCGCCCTAGTATGAGACTCACCAGCAGTACGCACCCACGACCTGGCTAGGGGTCGAACTCAGGACCCTCAGGTTTCACGGCGAATGCGTTAACCATTCGGCCACTGGGTCGGTTTCCAGTGGACGAAACAGCTGTCCAGTGCTCCCAGATTTTTAGTGGTTCCCCAACTGATGTCAGTCCATGATAAATACTACTTCTAAATTAAAAGTCCCCATTCATCCAAAAAATGCGTCATTTATTTAGTTTAGAATTTCAAAACGTCTGAAAAATATTATAAACTAAAGGTCAGAGGTGATGGTGAGTAGCTCAGAAGGATAATTTTTATGGTATTCTGTTCTCTAAGCTGAATGGTTTAATTGTGAAGTTTTCATTGTCATTCTGAACAATATCATCAGCATAAACTTCAAAAGAAGGTTTTCTCCAGAATTTGCTTAATCGCTTATTTTGATGCCTTTGTATATAGTTGATTGTTTTTGTCATACTGCTCAGAGAATACACCATCAAAATTGAAATCAAAATTAACTTTAGGTGAATTGTATAAACCAGAACTAGATTTGAAGTTATTCATTTTCTCTGTTTTACTTCTCTTACTAGCTAAAGCCTGCAACTGCTCTTTGGATATAAAAATGGCTCAATGAATTCCTTCTGCCTTTATTTCAACAAAATCAGCGATAATAGAAGCCAATTTTCTATATATTTTTTTAAATGTTCATTATTTTGGCATCTTGGAACAGCTAATCAGCTAACTGACTTATCAACTTTGAATACGGGAAGAGCATAAGTATTTGTTTTCTTGTCAATCAATGAATATTTCTGGGAATAGAATTAAATGAGAAGAAATAATATCACTTAAGCTTCTTTTCTCATAATTTTTTCCTCTTTGGCAATACAATTGTTTCAGTTACCAGAAAAACAATATGTAAACATTATTTTATTTTAATTTGTAAAAATTTTTACTGTACTTTTAATTTCTTTTCTTATTTTGACATTTTTAGTGATTATCTCTTAGCTGACATAAACACAGACCTAGTGTCATAAGGCTGAACACATATAAATATAGTCAAATGGGATAAATGTACATATAACAATGTATTTAAACAAACATACTTTTTTTGAAAAATTTCACGCGAAATATTTGATTTAGCTTTTCTTCAACTAATTTCCAATTTTTTTATTTTTTCATTAAAATTTACCTTTTTAGTGATTTTATCAAAAGTGAATTTTTATTTCAAAGAATTCGAACCTACAGAAATAATAATAGTGTTATCAATATACCAAATAGAAATTGAGGATTAATTGGTGATGAATAAATTGAATAATTATGAAGTACGACTAAGTTACGTTGGTGATGAAATATGCTGTCTTGTTACAACCTCAAATCGCCAAGACGAAGAAGGTAAACTATTCTAATATGGGGGCCGATTGATAATTTTTGCATAACCTGTAACTTCGACACTGTCCATCTAGTGCTAAAAGTATGTGATAATGATACGTTGCAAACTAATAATTGTCGTGCTCACTTTTTGTTTAGGATTCATATTTTTCTACACTTAACTCATATTAAGTACTTGGATATATTAAGAGTTTGTTAGTAAACAGAACATTCTTAATTACTATGATATCCGAAGAATGGATATACATCTTGTATAACTCATTGGGTGGTAAGTACATTAGCAAAGTATAAAGTTGGTAGACGTAAACTATACGCTAAAGTTATTCTCGTTCAGGTTTTTCCAGAATACATACTAATTAATCAGGGTCAGAAGACAAGATGATACCACAAAAATTTTCTGGCAAATAATCTTGAAGTAAAAATATTACAGAATCTCCTTTCCGTAAGCATGGACAGAAAGCATAACTTGGTTGCCTTTAAATGAAGTCATTATATCTTGTTTTTCCTTAATGCCTTTCAGTCAATCAATTACACAGACAGTGTTAGCATGAAATCTAGTAATAAAACGCAACGATATTACTCCAAGTTAGGATATTAAGTTGAAGGAGAATGAGAAATGTTGGTAAAATACTAATAAGTAGACGTTGAACTAAAAGATGAAGATAAGGTATATTATGCATCCTTCTCAGCGATGCTGATTATGAATTCACTCATTCAGCGTCTCCAGCTATAAACTCCCTCCGTTACACGAACTTTATTGCTATATTTTAATCTGTCCGGACTCAACTACATTCTCATGTATCTCCACTTCAGCCGATATAACTTGTCAAGGTAGACGGTGTATAGATATCAATAATACATGACTCAGTTTTATCAGTCAATGAAGGTCCATAAATTTTATATCCATTTGAGATTTTCGTCGAACGGTGTTCTAAGAAGACTGATCAGAATTTTTAAGTTAACGAAGTGACCAACCGGTTCAAGCAGTTCAATCAGTATTACTCCATGATGTGCAGGCATAAATCACAACTAAATGTATAGTCCAAACGTTCTCAGGTTTATCATTTCGGGTAGAAACACTGTACATTGCAAACTACTAAGGTCTCAGCAGCTACACTCCTATCTCACTGTTGACCAGTTTGTGAACAAAGTGTAGTCTCACAGGAGGTTGTTTATGGACCGAATATCTTTGTCAGCAAGTTTCTGACTATAGTACTGAATGACTTAGGAGTGAATCACCAAAGCAATAAAAGTTTTCTCATGGTTGGATATTCGCCTTACTGCTGAGTGTCAAAAAACACAAAACCGAGGTCTGCGGCTCCCTGGAAACTGATGCCAATCATTTTAAAAGTTTGTCTTTGACTACCAAAGTATTTGGTACTCTTTTCCACTGGAAAACCGTTACTAGGCAAGTCAAAACTGTTGATATCATCAGGTATTACTATCAAAACTTTCACTTTGCAGTTAATATATCTGATGTAAATGCTTGAGTACTATTTACACAGGTTTTATTTCAAAGTCACAATTGCATCAAAGCTATTTGTAGGAGTTTCGAAGCTTTGAAGACGACATTTATGCAAACGCACATTTTGGGATAAAACACATTCATTATCTCTGTTCTTCAAATTACTTAGGATGAATTGAGAATATGTAGTTTCATGAACTGGCCATGGCAGCCTTGTATATCGAAAATAGCCTCCTGTTAGTTCCTGAATACTGCTACCCAGAAAAAGGAAGTAATCTATGTGTTCAGAATGCTAAGTGACTCTAACCTCTATCATATGTTAGGGGAATATGACATAAGTCACAATTTCACTTCTCGTTTAGTTGCTTTTTTCTTACTTAAAATGATCATCCACAACAATTTCTCACGTGTCATACAGTAGAAGAAAACAATCATTCATGATTAGTCCTTCAATTATCGACAAACCATTCCTCTCTCGTCTCAAGTGATAGTCTGAATTTCTGTGTTTAAATCGTTATTTAATTTATTCAGGTAGCTGAGGTTATTTATTTTTAGTTGTAGTTATTTTTAATGTGCTATTCAATCTATCCTCAGACATCTTTTATGCAAGGGCTTTCATGAACTGTCGATAAAAAATTCTATAGGAACACTTCAAAATGCTAGCTAACATAAACGACTTTGATTCACGTATATTCCTGTTCTTTTCATTATACTGTCTGTTGTACTGTTACACTTTAAGAGTTCAAATGCTCGAATGCCTACGGAAAACTATCACAACTATTCATTAGGCTTCCTGCTTATCTAAATCGTAGATCAATCTTTGAAAAAAGTAAATGTAGTAAGCCATAGGCTGTGGTTAAATTGTTATTGGCATTTTACGTTCTGCTTCGATAAGAAATTGAGATGGAAATAACTGGTTCAGCAGTTAGCCTCTTTCAACTTACAAGAATTCTCGGCTCATACAGGAATAGAGAGGGGGTAATTTTTCTCTTAGGAGGTTCAGTGGTAGACTAAGGAACAAAGAATAGTAAGTTTTAAAGCTTAACCTCTTGAGTTCACCTGTTGTGGAGGATCTCGATGTTATTAAGCAGTTTTGAATGTGAAAATTCTGTTTCAACTGATATACAAAACCTGTGCATTCAAAAACCAATGAAGTGAGCCTGAATGTGAATCACATAGGTTTCAAAATATACTAGATATTTGAGCAGCCATCTGTGTGAATCACTGCCTTAACTCACTGAATTCTTTGGATGAAGTATCTTACAGTTTTCATTTCCCTCAGATGAAGTTCATATTATATTGAACAGTCAGACAGGTATTTGGGGTTCAGAATTAGATGTCATTGGGAAGTCGTGGAACGAGGTTAAAAAAACTGCAGAGGACAGAGTGGAATGAAGGCGTTCTACTGAAGCCCTATGTTCCACTAGGAACCCAAGGTAAAAATAATAATAATAATAATGCAGGTATAGTTTAAGGTCGTGTCTAAGCCAATAACTATTCACTTAGTAATATGTACCATACCAAGCTCGATTTAAGTGCCTGTGTAGTGACATAATTCTTTACAAATAGGCCATACGGAAAAGAACTAAGTAAAATCTGTCAAAGTGGCCTAAATTTGTATCGGTAAGCCGCATGTACTAACTTCTAGTAAATATTCATGCTAAGGCGACTTGCATACTGCTTAAGTGGTGCATTATGTAATTCTGATACCACTCATAGTTAGGAACGTGTTTTGATTGAAAAAAAATGTGATCCTCTATTTGTGATTATCTGCTCAACCAAGTTACAAGCCAATCTCCTTTTCCTGCTTCAATCGATCCATTTTGTTACTTCATTTGATTAGTTCCCGTTTCGTTCATTTAACTATGGTAACATTATTTTAGTACTCTGTTAAATGAAGAAACTGTTGACGCTTTGTCAAAAAGGTAGAATAGTCCCATCTAGAAGTGGCTTTCCATTAACTTTTCTGTTACAACATCCATCTATCAGTATCCATACTAATATTTCACTTTACATTAGTTTCGAAAACCATTGTGATTGTTATCACAATTCGATATGTCTTACGATTGGTACTACGTTTACCAGATACTTATTTGTTAAAAACCTATGTAGCAACCTGTAAAATCATTCAGATATTTAGCTATCAAATCTCTGTATCTCAGATTTTGTTTGTTTCATAGTAGAGACAAAAATGCAATCATAGTGGCTTCCACGAAAGTACACTAATAGAAATTACTTTGTTATGCAGGATAAGAAGGTAAAATTATCCAACTTCAAAAATATTGATTTTTATTGTCTTAAGAATGGAAGCTTGATAATCTGTGACCAGCTATGTAGAACCCGAGCTAATTTCGTGTTACTATGAATTACTGCTATGTATTGGCTTGGCTATTCGAAGTGCTACAAACGGTTAATTGCCAGGTGACATGAAAGCATATATTTGTATCAGAAATGCAGTGGAATAATTGGAATACTCAAGGAACTGAAGTTAGGTGTAGCTGACTGTAATAATTGGAGACGAGATCTGTCTCATAGTTGATTCCACTTTACCAAAAGTGATAGACAAGTTCATATTTGAAACAGACAGTCCCTTTTATGAATTAAGCTGGCGTAATTAGAAGGCGAAGTTTATCTGAATAATGTAATGTATTTATGTAGTATATTTCGAACAATCTGATCATAGATTTACTTGTATAGGATCAAGAAAGATAAGAGGACAAATTGAACAAATATGATAATACAGGATTATAACTAGGAAGATGGAGCAAAAAGGAAGAGTGACATACTTGTCCAAGGCAGTAATATAAGAAGAAACTGCCTTTGTGCATACGAACATGGTTTTAATTTGTGCGTCACTACCGTTTCCGCAGATCTTAGGATGCGTCCTTGACTGTTTCAGCATAGAACTTTAAGAGCTGTTAGAATATTAATTTTATTACCAATTTGTATAATGGGTTTGGCTATAGATGAAGATGGTTGTCACTCACCTGCACCTGTCAAAGTTCCACATTCCATCTGTTTTTCAACCCACTTAAGTGTGTTATCCTACCCTTAACTACTTAGCTCGACTACTCTTTCGTGTGTATGCGTGACCACACAAATATGGATATCGTTAGACACAATGGCATTTGACCGAATCATTTATGCAGTGTTTAGGTTTGTAACGAACCATCGGTTTTGTTTTTGTTACAATAATAAGCTTAGCTGCACGATAAGTTTTCCTAACGGCTGATGTTAGTCGGCATCTCAGGATTATACTACTGAGGTACCGTCTAAATGGACGCTTTTCTTAGGAAACGAGGATAAAGTTGGTTTCGGACCTACCTGACTTCTATAATGGTTCATAAACTTGAATAGATATCCGTTTCCGTAAGTGTTTTGGTCAGTAACTTTATATCTTCACCCACAGTAACTGATGTGCAGATGCGACAGATTCTATTAAACAAGCATTTTATTAGACCTCCTTTGTACTGGGTCGGAAAAACTGTCCTGTCTATGTAGGGTTTCTGTAGACTGACGGTCTTATTGAACCGTATACTCAGGAGTACATCTAAGAATGGCAGATGATTGCTATTCTCTCTCCTAAATGTCTGGTTAAGCTGAGTTTGTACGGTATTGCGCCTTTTTAGTAAACAAAACATATCCACATACTTCTCACAAGTCATCAGTTTATATATGCCGTGAAAGATTATAGAAGTCAGGTGTGATTTATCGCACCACCCTTTCTTTGCTTTAAGATCTGAAGATTTAGGTAAGCATAATGCGCTCAAGTTTTGTATGTCGAAAGGTTGGTTTACCTTAACAATAAGAAATCAACTTTTCTAATAACCATCCTTAGGAAATACATGTCTATGTATATAGATTCTTTTTTAGTTGGCTTATCAGATTTATCATAAAGTGAAATGGTATTAATCATTGGATTATGTCTCGAATACAGTTTATTGCTCATATCAAGATAACTACATGGCCTTGAGATATGATTTATATTGTTCTAATTGTCTCGTCTCCTTTGTGATAAAGGCAGATGGATTTTCTATATATCCAGAAGAATTGTCGAGTCATTCCTGTTGCACATATTTGATGTTGGTTAGACAAACAAAGGTTCGATTATCGATAACTCACTCCATACCATATAGTTATAAGGATTGTTGCTGTGTGGGATTCCAATACTGGAACAAGTCATCGAAGTAGATATAATGAATAAAGTAACAACAGCTATCGATACATTAATTAAGAACAAAGAGAAGAAAAACAGGAAGAAGTTGCACAACAAGCCACTCAAATTGTAAAGAGCAGAAAAGAATGAGTTAAACGATGAATGGGTAATAAATCTTCTAAAACATCACTATCTACGAGAGAGCACAATTTTTTTCAGAGTGAATTGAACTACAACACCAGAAATGTGAATAAATCAGACTTCTGAATTTTATTGTAGTTTACGTTGAAATCCCCAGAATCAAACATTGAACAGTGACAGGAAGTACGCCAGTTTATTGTTCTTTCAGCGAAGATCAGAAGAAATCAATATCCAGTAAACAAAAGAGTAAATAATGAAATGAAGTCACTCGTCGCTAACATGATTACCACTACTTCCCATTATGTTGTGTAGTTGTGTATAATTGCATGTTTGGCTTTGGTCAAGAGTTTTTTTTAGAGATTCCTTATCCTACCATGATCTACCAAGTTTGATGGAATTTTAAATGTGAATATAAATTAATTTTCTTACAGTAAAATAGGTCAACTTTTCATGAATCTCTGATCATTTTAAAAATACTAAATAATTTACCTTTTCAAATCATGAATACATTTGTCCTACCACTTTCGTTTTCATCTAATTTGATATGCAACATTGGAACTAAAATCTTATCATTATAAAAAGGATGGGATGATCATAAATTTTGATTGAAATATTTATTGAAATACTGGGTGTTCTCATTTTTTTTTCTGGCTATTTAAATTTATGAGGAAATTGACTGACAATTTATTGAAATTTTATTTTCATTATTTTTGTGCACTCCGCATACTACACTCTGTTCAAAAACATAATCGAAAATGATGTTTTTATAATATATTTCAATTAAGGTAATTCATATTTAGTAATTCTGAAGATCAGACGATCAGAAAGAATGAGCAACAAGGAACTCTGGCTAGCTGGCAACGAACCAACCAAGAATCTACCACCCAACAAATATGGAGAAGAAGTATATGGAGATGGATCGGGCATACACTGAGAAGGTCGACTGGGGACATCACGCGTCAGGCCGTCGAGTGGAATCCAGATGGGAAACGACGAGTTGAGCGTCTGAGCCGAGAGTGACATTGAGGAGATGGTGTGAGGAAGAAATGAGAGTTTGTGGGCTGTCGTAGAGCCAGGTTGAAAAGATTGGAGAGAAGAGAGTGGAACGGAGACGTGTTACTGAAACCCTATGTTCCTTTAGGAACCCAAGGGACAAATAAATTGATAAATATTTAGGAATTAATGTGATTCGATGAACCGTTATGATTATTTTCATTTTCGTTATTCAAGATTCTAAAATTTACTTCACAAAGTGAATCATACTTTGAATCGAGTTATCACCGATTCAGGCTGTAGCAAACTATCTAGTCATAACAGCCATACAACTGCTATCTGTAGGCGTACTCCGACTGAAACTTGATTCAAAGTCAATTTTCAAATAGACAAGTACTTAGTACAACTTCAATGACTTTCTGAGACAAATAAAATTCATCATAGTTGAATAATGTTTCTGGTCCTATATAATTTGATTCAACAGTTACTTTTAGGTGTCAAACTCATGCCCACCAATCCATGCCATTCATTGATATCTTCTTATCAAAAGATTTGTTCTCAGTATTTTTGGTTTTAAGGTGTTAGCAGTTGGAACTACTTGAGTATTTAGTAGGTATTATCTGTACAACTATAGTCTAAAATAGTCTCATGATCGTGCAGCTCCACATCTATGTTGATTATATAGACTTAAATAGTTCAGCCATTCAAACATCTTAGTCTCCTGTTTATTTATCTGATTTCGCTGACTGACTCAAAGTAGGCAGTTACACTTATAAAACAAGTATTCAGTCTAAAACTACCATTTTGATTTCATTCATGTTACCCAATTAGCTAATTTTGGTGGTTTTAAGTTGAACTGAATACTCACTTCCAAAGGCAGCACTAAGCTATAAAGCCATATGCCTGTAGTTTACGACTGACATAAAAATATGTTTGTTTAAATCTGAAAAACAGAAGAAAGTGATCATTCAGTTGACGCGTTTAAGAATTAACAGTTATTTAGTCTCGTCATTTCAAAGCTGGTCCAATCTCTAAATCAAATAGACAGTCATTTTATTAGATTTCTCTTCTTTACCACAGTTGCCTGTTACATATAACCTCTAGCAATCGTAGCTTCATTTTGTAAGTTTATTTATTCTAGAGACCATCAGCAATAGGATTTATGGGAAGAAAGATAGAAATAGGTGTAAATTTATAATGAATTGAAACAGTTCATAAATACAAAGCACACTTCTATGTGTTAGAAGATAGATCATCATTCCAATTTCACGGATAACAATAAGATCTTGAGTCGAGAAAACGCATAGAAGCAGCTTATGATTGATCTAAGAGGAAATTCGATAGTTACAGCACCTCACGAAGGTTGAAAGGCTTACTAAATGTACATATAAAAGAGTAAGTTACTAGAAGAATATCAAGAATTTTAAGTACATGATATTCAAATGCGTAAATTAATCAGAAAATAGCACATAAAGATAACAGTTCAGTCCCCTAAGTAGATGGTTACTTTACTATGCGAAATAATCACAGGATCCACAAAGTTTTTATGAAAAGTGATCGATACCCATAAAGACCTTTCAGATCTGTTCCATTGGTAAAATCACCTTTATCTCATAGAAAGTCACTTCAGATTTCAAAATTATACATCAATTCCTGAAATATACATAATTTAAAATCAAACTGATAAGTGACAACGATTGTTAGCTTCCTTGATAACCTGAATATACTTATTAGATAAAGTATGTCAAACTCATCCGTAAATCAAAAATGCCTGAAACCTATTAAATAAGACCTATGAAATACTTGGTGAGACAGAAAGTACATTTCTTGAGTTTCAAGAGAATAGTATCTTTATCTCGTTCAGTATTACACTCAACATGATTGGCAACATATGTTATGCTTTCAAGATTTTAGTTTTCCATCTCAGACAGGTGTGTTTTTTGGAACGATAGGCGAAGGTTACTAAGAAATTTATATTATCACTCTTTCGGATTTCAATCTATGAAAAATAACAGTAAGAACCTTCCAAAATCTAGACTTTTCAATAATGGGAGGTTGAAATAACAATAGTAGTGATTTAGAAGTAGTATTCACCATGGACTGACATCAGTTGGGGGAACCACTGAAAGTCTGGGAGCACTGGACAGCTGTTTCATCCTAGTATGGGACTCATCAACAGTACGCACCCACGATCCGGCTAGGGATCGAACTCAGGACCTTCAGATTTCACGGCGAACGCATTAACCATTCAGCTACCGGGCCGGTTTCCAGTGGTTCACAATTGCCAACTTCTGTCACTTCACGACATAGCGTGACTATCACCCAAGGTCTTCAGTTAGCATCCACTTCGCTTCCGACTGGTTGGCCTCACAGGTAACAGCTCCTCATTAGAGCTTCGTGATTATAACAATAATACTGCCTGTTGATAACGAAAATGTTGAATGATAGCAAAAAGGGTTTACATAAGATTTTTTAAATTGTTTATAAGGTGCATATAGATTACAAAGAGGGTAAAAACGTGGTGGAGTTGATAAAACAACCAAAGGATTAGGTAATATGTATTAAACAAATGGTTAATAGAAATAAATTGAAAATATTTTCTTTAAGGTTGCAATTATTAGGAAGATCAGATAAGGTCACACCAGAAACTATTAAATATAAAAATTAGAGATGATAATGACTATATAATAGTACAAAGAATAACCTAACAAAAGAAGTTGAAGAAACAAAACATGGACGAAGTACACCAGGAACAAAATAAGTTAAGGTCAAGGTTTTTTATTCTTACATTTTATAGTTTTCGGTGTTATTTGTTGTATCCGCTCCACCATGTTTTCATCCCCTTTGAAATCTATATGCCGCTTATAAACAATTTAAAAATTTCAAGTAATCCCTTTTTATTATCACTCAACCTTTTCGTCACCAACAAGCATTATTAGTTTTGGCGCTTCAAGTTCACCCGCATGTTCTGTAACCCAGTATAACGGAGATGGTTGTTAAAGAAGAAGTTAAAGAGAAGGCTAGTAATCCAATGCGGGAAATAAAAATTCAGAAGCTTTGTGTGGATATATGTTTCAGTGTTAGTGGTAACAGTCTGACCCAAGCCGCTAAAGTACTGGAGCAGTTAACGGGTTAGCAACTGGTTTTCAGTAAAGCACACAAAACTATTCGGATATTTTCAATCCTGAGGTGGAAGAGATCTTGGAGAAAGGCCTGAAGGTGAGAGAGTACGAACTTCCAAAGTCCTGCTTCAGTAAGACTGGGAACTTCGAATTCAGACTAACAGAAAGCATTGATTTAGGAATTAAATATGATCCTTCGATCAGTATTTATGGGATGAACGTCTACGTCATTTTAGGAAGACCGGAGCTGTGTGTTCGTTATCGACGCCATTGTAAAAGTTGAGTTTGCAACAGTCAGAAGCAATGAAGTGGTTCCAGACTAAATTTGATGGCATATTACTAAACAATTTAAAAGTTTTAAGTGATCCCTTTATATGACCATTCAACCTTTTCGTCACCAACAAGCATTATTATTGTTATTATAACCACCATTATTGTTATTCCTACTTCCCATCATTTAAGTTAAACTTTTATCACTGATTGCAATCTTTAAATATTTCCAATAATGCCCAGTATTTTTAAGTAAGTTATCTTTTCAGACAAATATCCCGTCGGATAACGACATATAGCACTGAAAATCACGCATAACAAAAATCTTTGTAATTGCAGTTTCTAACTGATCTACTTCAGTCATCATGAGTTAAGAAGAATATGTGCCTGAAAATATAATTATTTTATGGGATAGTTTGTGACCCGAAGTCAACGAATTCGTAAAAGATACAGCGACACAAATAAGAAGTAGTGTGAGTAAGCATCTTAAGCTACTTTTAAATAAGCGTTTAACGGATGGATTGAACTAAACCTACCTGAGAAAGAGAGATTTACCTGTGCATTTTATATTTTATCCCCTGAAAATTCATAAGTTTATTGTTCTCCTCAGACAAGTAATGTCATTAACAAGTTCAATATATCATAATTTAGTCTGATCGTTAATGAAGCCATTAAAATCCGTCGCAGAAAATCTTCAAAATCATAGTATAAAAGACACTTTTAATTTTCGTCAAGACTTGTATCAGTAAGACTATTTGGATAATTCGGTGGTATTACATGATATTCTGTTATTTCTAAAAACATTTCAGTGGAAAAAAGTATCGATATAACCTATTATTGACCTTTACAACAAAAACCAGAGGTAAGACATTTACTGCTTCTCTGTGCAATGAATATTCATTTTCAGTTAAAGAAATGATAAGAAGTGATTAGGTGACGGGCTGCTCGTAAAATCACTACTATGACCTCTTGCAGTTCATAAATAAATAAACCATCTCAAATAAACTAGCCTGGATTACAAGATAAAGGAAACAGAATAATTTCCCATGGGTGTAGGCGATATCTTTATCCTTTATAGTGAGATAAGTCTTTAATTTACACTTTATGAGGGCTTTCATGAGCCTATGAAATATAAACGTAAAAACAAACAAGCTTCCGAATGCTCATACCAAACAAAAAACAATAACCCAGTTGACAAGAACATTAGTTTCATCTTTCCATAAAGTGGATTGAATAGATATTTCCTTAAACAAAGCGATACAATTGAGCCTAAAAAGAGACCAAAG